CAATAGTCTCAGGTCAGTTGTAAACCTTGGGCATTTTAAAATGTATGTATGACAATCCGTATGTCAATTATCAACAATGCAATGTTTTACAATCTTAGTCCCTGTGGCGGTCAGTACTGTCAACTTCTCTAACACAATTAACAAAGTTGTATGGACTTGACTCAGGAATAGACCTGAACGGTATCTCACCTTTACATTCATAACGTGGCTCGAAGCTCGACAGAATCTACAATGTCATATGCCATTTTGGAGACAGCAGAAGACATCGATGCACGAGTTGGAAGTCAATGATCAAAGTTGATCCCTAGGAAACGTTGTGGTGAATCAAAACGAGAGAGGGGGGGGGGGACTCCCTTGCAGGAGAATGTGCAGCCCAGCGGGAATCAGGACAGGCCCATGACCCAACTTGACTCAAAGGCCCCTTTCCGTGAGGTAGGGCTAAACGGCTGAGCGCCAGGTAACACGACCCGAAAACATTTTGGAGACAGCAGAAGACATCGATGCACGAGTTGGAAGTCAATGATCAAAGTTGATCCCTAGGAAACGTTGTGGTGAATCAAAACGAGAGAGGGGGGGGGGACTCCCTTGCAGGAGAATGTGCAGCCCAGCGGGAATCAGGACAGGCCCATGACCCAACTTGACTCAAAGGCCCCTTTCCGTGAGGTATGGCTAAACGGCTGAGCGCCAGGTAACACGACCCGAAATCTCTACCAAGGTATGCCGCTAACCAAATAAGAGTGACCCCTGGTAGAAGCTCACACGGAACGAACCAACCCTAACAGGACAATGAAGGATAACAAAACATTGTACAACCGGTGGCTAACTAAATACGGCTTCACCATTTAATGGCGGAAATCTATTAATAGAACTACTGTAATCATCCGGGTACTCGGGTCGCACAAAATTTCAACACTCATAAGTACTTCGATGTTAGCGAAGAGGCCCTTAACCTATATAAAAACTTGTTTACAAATACATTTACGAAATATTTAGGCACTTTTTACTGCTATTGTTTGAAATGGGACACCGTTGCGCATACGGCACATGTAACAGTGACACTAGATGCAAGAATCGTCCGAACGATATGTGACACTAGATACAAAGATCGTCTGAAACATATGCTGAACACACATTATTAGCTGCCATGTTTTGAGAAATATTTGTCCGACGTTCTAAAAATACTAACGCTATGACGTTTTCCGGTCTGAGAAATGACAAACCTTATGGACTCCGACCCACGGAGGGACCCGAACTGACGACCCTGTAACCACGCCATCGAAACAGTGGGATGCCTGCTCGCCCATTGCCCTAGTGGGGAGAAGGGGGTTGATGGGTCGAGTCAGAAGACCTGCGTCAACAATCTGTCATACGGTGACGCACGAATGCAAACAACTCGCCAGGGATCATAAAAGTCTAAATCCGACAAAGCAAGAGAGTGAACACTTTGATTCAAATAAACAGTGAATAGGGTTGGTCGAAATATGTAGCGTATTAATTCAGTTGATGTGTGTATGTGATGTTGTAAAGCCTAGATTGGACACAACGTAATTTAAACCAGTTGGATTCTAATAACCTGGCGTTCAGCTCTTCCATAACTAGGCTTCTCCTTTTTACAACAAGAATCAAACACATCCGAATTTATATTATAATTTTTTCAACTGTTGGAAAACTATTTTTTTACAACATTTATTTATCACATTTGAGAACTTTTTCAACAACAAAAAAAAAACCACACACATCTTTTAAAGATGTTCATCGTGTATCATACATTTCTGTGCCGAGGTGACCACTAGCAAACTGGTGAAAACGGTGAGTATCTTTGGATGAAACATTTCGACACTGAAGTTAACACAACTTCCAACTAAAGCAAAGCTACTACACGTGTCGACACGTTCTATACAGATGGTACAACGGTTCTAAAACTGTACAAGATATAAATATTGCACTTAAAAAAACATAAGAAATTCTCATTTATTTAATAGGTTCCACCAAGTTTTTGAAAGTGCCCCCTCTGTGGTAAAGATAATAATTTTATGCTCAGACTGGTTTAACCTTGCGAGATCAAACACGACAATTGGACTTTAAGAAGGTTGATGGATGGTGATAAGGAGACGCCTCTCAGTTGTAATTTGTAAGGGACTAAATTTAACATTTACATGGACCAATTCAGTTTAAAATAAGCATTATTTTTATTCGGCTTGGCCGGGCTTAAACTTAAGCTTAAAAATAGCTTAAACTAAATATTTTTCCAAGACTTAGTAATTACCCTGGGACAGTTGTTGATCTGGGCGTCGTTGGAATTATATTACTAAGACTGATCGTATCAGGTCATTTTTTTTTAAGTTGTTTTTTTTTTTGTTGTTGTTTTGTTATTTTTCAAGTTTTTCATCAGGACTACCAAATGACTTTATGATTCATTTGAACACAAAAGAATCGGTTATGATATGCTTATGCTTTAATTCTATAACGACACGAAATTTTACAAATTATAAATTATTTTAGAGGGATATTTCAATAACTCAATCAATAATGTTGACACGTTCAAAGATCGATAAATTATCGTATTGTATTCAATGAAACGTAACTACAGATGAAACTTCAAAAGACATTGCAATTCTTGTAACTAAAAAATGTAAACTTGGGTTTTGATGGGATGACGAAATAAATAAATTATGCTCAAAACATAGAAGTGTTGAAATTCTCACATCTTGTGGCGCGTTTGTCTGTGTGAGTCCCTGTGTGTGTGTATTTTTGTGTCAATGATTGTGTATGTGTGTGCGTAAGCATGTGTGTATATGTGTGTTTGTGGTTACGTGTGCACATTTCTGTGGGTTTGTATGTGCGTGTGTGTGTGTTGTTGTTGTGCGCGCGCGTGTGGTCTGTATGTGTGTGCCTATATGTTTGTGTGTGCGCGTGTGTATGTGTGTATGTGTTTGTGTGTGTGTCTATTTTTATGTCCGGCTGTGTGTATGTGTGTGTTTGTGCTTGTGTGTATATGAGTTTGTGTGTGTGTGTGTGTGTGTGTGTCAGAAAATTAACAATGCTTTGATAGGCTCTATTGTAAACATGTATGTTGTATGACTGGCTGTATGTCTCATTTTGTAGGTCTAAGCTGATGAGGGGAGCACGGTTCAAGCCGTGTGAAGTAAATCAAGAAACAGTCATCTGTCACAACGTTTGAGTTAGCACCGAGGATTTCATTACTACGTCTAACTGGAGAACTGTGTTTATTGATTTAACCTTCGCGATTAAAAAATCAGTTGGTCTGTTTGTTTCTTAAAATAAAATGGAAGAAATGAATCAGAGCTTTACTGAAGTCATAGGAAGAAATTATTTAGAGTGTTACTTAAGTCAAAGGGAGAACTGGTTTAGCGCGTTACTGAAGTCAAAGTAAGAAATGATTTAGTGCGTTACTTAAGTCAAAGTAAGACGTGATTCAGTACGTTACTGAAGTCAAGGTAAGAAATGATTCAGTGAGTTACTGAAGTCAAAGTAAGAAGTGATTCAGTGCGTTACTGAAGTCAAGGTATGAAATGATTCAGTGCGTTACTGAAGTCAAAGTAAGAAGTGATTCAGTGCGTTACTGAAGTCAAAGTAAGAAATGATTCAGTGCGTTACTTATATCAAAGTAAGAAATGACTCAGTGAGTTACTGAAGTCAAATTAAGAAATGATTCAGTGCGTTACTGAAGTCAAATTAAGAAATGATGCAGTACGTTACTGAAGTCTAAGAACGAAATGATTTAGTAAGTTACTTAAAGGAAGAAATCATTCAATGCGTTGCTCATGTCAAAGTAAGACGTGATTCAGTACGTTACTGAAGTCAAAGGAAGAAAGAGATAAAGACTTGAATGACAACATGAATGCGATATTTGGAAAGGGCAAGAGGGGAAAAAAAGAATCGATCAGCAAGTAAACGGAAAGATAGTGAGAAAGATAATAAATTCATGTTTGGAAGAGCACTAATGGTTAGTAAATTGAGATCAATACATGACTGTAACACAATACCAAGTACCGAAAATAGTGAGTTCCCGCATGTAGTACAGGCTTCATTGAGACCACTGAGCCGACATGCCTGATAGACGCTTACTTCTGCTGTTGTTTTTTTTTTCAGGGAAATTACAAAGAACATTTTTCATGGAGAAGACTCAGCAAGAGAGTCTGGCAGCGAATCGGTCTCAGTCTTATCACTAAGCTTAAAATGTATATGGCAATCATATATTAGGTGCAATCCATATATTAGGGACCAACCATATATTAGGGGTCATCCATATAATAGGGACCATCGATAAATTAAGGGGCCATCCACATATTAGGGGCCATACATTTATTAAGGGCTATCCATATATCAGGTGCCCTCCATTTATTAGGGGCAATCCATTTACCCACCCCTAACTTACTTTTTGGAAACCTTCCCCTAACGTACTTTTTGGAAACCTTCCCTTAACCTACTTTTGTAAAACCTCCCCTAACTTACTTTTTGGAAACCTTCTCCATACCTACTTTTTGGAAACCTTCTCCATACCTACTTTTTGGAAACCTTCTCCATGCCTACTTTTTGGGAACCTTCCCCATACCTACTTTTTGGAAACCTTCTCCATACCTACTTTTTGGAAACCTTCCCCATACCTACTTTTTGGAAGCCTTCCACTACCGCCACTAACCCACTGTTTGGACATCTTCGCCCTAAACAGCTGCTTGTAAACTTACGCCCCAACCTACATCCTGGAAACCTTTACCCAGCAAAACTTTCTGTTCCCTTTCCCCCCCCCAACTAAATTCGTGGAAATTGCTTCCCTGTAAAACGTATCCAAACCCATTTCTTGGAAACCAAAACCACTTCTTCTATCTTGCCAACCTCTGCACAAACGATCAAAAGGATATGAACAGAAAAGTTCACAAAATGATTATGGCACGTTGCTTTGATCTTTATTAAAAAAGTATTTCCATATTTGTTACACGGCGTTGTTTACAACAACAACAAAATGTTTCCACGAATTTATTCGTTCGTTTTACTACCATTGTCTCAAAAGTTGGAATGACGTCATTTTAAGTTACTCTTCCCTTTGCCATCCTCCGGCGTTGCACTGTTCCGTCAGCGGCCGATAGAGGCCGTTTTCTGAGTTACTTCTTAGGGATCCGACAGTGGCGTATTTCGTCGACGTCGTGTGGTGGATCCCGCTTCCGGAAACCTCCGCGGCAAACCGGCCACCAGGCCGGAAGTCCCTGCTGTCGGGGCCGCGGAGCTCCACATGCCCTGGCCTCCTGCTGAGCAGGGTCATGTTGCACTTCAGCATCCTGATGGCCTTGTCCAAGAACTTGAGTTGCGACTTGCATTTCTTCGACTTCTTCTTCCTGCCCCGTCGGCGCCGCGTCCTCTTGACGCGCCTCACGAGAGGAGTCGACGTCGACCGCACGCTCATCAGCTCGTTCGAGAGCTTGGTGGTGGCCATGATGAACTGCCGGCTCGCTTTACGAAGCAAGGTCTTGTCCCGCCTGTGGGGCGTACTCGTTTTGAGCAGAGGCTTCTGCTTTCGCTTGAACTTAACGTTGATGCTCGGCTGGGGCGCTATTTGTAAGGACATTATGGGCATCGGGGTGGGGGCGCGTTTTTTACTCGATCGGAAGGACTTGGTTTTTGAGGTTGAATGTTCTGTCTTATTTTGGGGGGGAGTTGTTTGTCCTTTCGGCATGTTCTGTTCCTTGTTCAGATCCCGGTAAACGCTTGAGCAGGGGCTGGGCTGGGGTGCACAAGGGCAAAAGTCAATGTCTTCGGTCTCCTCAAAGTAAGCAGAAACCGGTTTGATGACCAGCTCCCGTTTCTTGGGGCTCGACATCTGGACCACGGCCGCGGCCTCCCTGCGGTTCAGTCTGGCGGTGACGCCCTTGACCACGGTAAAATGTGACCCGCGATGTGCGGCGTTCTTCTTCCGCAGGCAACTCCTCGGGACCTGCTCCAGGCTGTTGCTGGGCGTGACGTTGTGCTGGTTCAGGCACGGGTAGGAGGGGGTCACTGGGATCGTGTCCAGCCAGCTCAACACTCGCTCCAATGAGGTGCTCTCTTCCTGTTGGGAGTATCACCAGGCGTTAGAAATACCCACAGACGGCACAAACATGCCATTTCAAAATAGGATCAAATAATTTTCGAAATAAAATAAGTTGAGAGACAATTAAACAACCCCTCCAAAAAAAAAAAACTTTAAATATTTTATATGCAATTTTTTATTTAACTTTCTATTAATATTCTACTGTCCCACTCGCTTTTTACACAGTAGATGTATTTCACAAGCTATGTCAGACACACAAAAGGAAAAACTTCGCACCAAACACTTTTGCGATATTACTTTTTTAAGTAACTCATTTAACAGAGTTTATCGGGAATTTTATTTCGTGAAATCAGTGTCATCCTAATGCCTTCATCTTCCTTTTTGAAAAACAGGAAAAAGCTGTTTTTTGGCGCGGGGGGGAAGGGGGTGTTATTTTAAAAGAATGTTTTGTCATTGGCAACAAGTCTACATGCCAATTTTCAGGTTCATGGGTTGGCGTGAAGTGAGTCAATGAGCCGTCCGAAGATTTTAGCCAGCCTACAACGAACAAACGCGATGTTAATAGAACAAATGTAAAACCCCCATTCGTAAGTTAAACCTACAACAGAGTTATCGAACGTCGCAGTAAGTTTTAAATAGAATCAACCTAAGCAACAAAATATGACGCTAAATTATTTTACACTGCGCTAAAGCAGAAAATGGATTACATCAAATTAGATTCAATCTGGACATAGAGATTGATTGAGCCGGATATGATTTTCACAAATGAAAGGACTCCGCTGTTGTATAGTATAGCTGTACTGGGCGGGGCAACGCAATTAAGTTGTGCTTTTAAAATACGGGAAGAGGTTTATAATCTATAATAATAGTAATAATTCCAGATGAAGCTACGTATATCCCACCAATGCGTGTGTACGTGAGTAAGTGTACGACAGGGGAAGGGACGAAAGAGAGCGGTGCGAAATGTGACAAGAACCAGTCAGGAATTTTTATTGTAGAAAGATTGATAACGAGAAAAGGGCGGAGCGAACAAACTTGGGCTGAGAAATTTTGAGAATGTCAGGCTGAGCAAATGACGGCTTAGAGTGGAGTATGCCAGGCTGAACGAACAAATTATGACAGTGTTAGTTGACTGTCTTAGTCTGAACAAAAACGATTTTAAAAAAAACTTGTTGGTAGACGATTGTAAAATTTGAAATAGAGTGCAGATTTGTCCGTTTATTTATTTTATTTAATTCGTTTCCGAATTAGTTCGCTTAGTTCAACGTAAACAACGTGAAAGTGGTCTGGCGGATCAACACACTCAAAACAATTCAACAACACACAGTCGTCCTGTGTGGTCCGTCTTTGTATTAATTGTATCGCGTATTAGGACCCATGGTTAAGCACGGTGTATGTAGTGCACCAGGTTTTGGCACACACAAAGAAACACGCACACATACACATAATTGCGCAAGAATGGCTCAGGTATCATGTTCTGAAATGGCTATCAAAGAATCATTCACTTTTTTTTTTTTTTTTTGAATTAACTCGAAGCTCAATGTACTGTGGTCGAACAAAGGAGTAGATTAGAACCCAATGGTGCCATGAAGATCAGTTTATAGAGGGTCCTTTGACTCTCAGCGTGATATGATTGTGATGACTAAACATGAAGAGTTTGGTTGGTGGGGTTGGGTGGGGGGGGTGGGGGGTCAGACTGAAAGATCGATGATCGAAAAACAAAAATGTATCTAATTTATTAACAGTTCTTGCCAATGCATAAAAATTGATCTCAAGCATCTAGGAAGCGAATGGAACCCCATTTTTGTGAATAGTGTGTGACAGTATAATGAGTGTGTAACAGTGTATTGATTGTGCTTAAATTTATGTGATAATTTTAATGACGAGGGAGGGGGGGGGGGGCAATTCGACACAGAAAAATTGTGAATTAGATTAATTTGTTTGCCCCTTAGTAAATTTAAATGTCGTGCTTATGTCGTGCTTATGTCTTGCTTATGTTGTCGTGCTTATGTTTCTTGCTAATTTACCATAAAAGATGGGTCCCACGACTCAATTCCCTTGGTCTGATTTTTGTAGGAGGGGGGCAATTCGACACAGAAAAATTGTGAATTAGATTAATTTGTTTGCCCCTTAGTAAATTTAAATGTCGTGCTTATGTCGTGCTTATGTCATGCTTATGTTGTCGTGCTTATGTTTCATGCTAATTTACCATAAAAGATGGGTCCCACGACTCAATTCCCTTGGTCTGAATTTTGTAGGCTGCGTCCTGGCGTTCACTTTTGCGGCTACCTTGTACCTTCCAGGTGTTCTGGTGACATTGTTTCTGTTCTTTCGCAGGGTGGAGCTGTATGGGCAACGGGGGGTGCGGTTCGTGCACCTTGACCCAGGGGTTGGTTAAAGTGAGGGCGTGGTCAGGGGATCGTGACGCCGTGTCGGACAGGCCCGGGGGGCGGAGATGAAGGTAGGCGTTATCCGTTTGCGGATGGCGATCACCCGGAAAGCGTTGGGACCAGGTGCTGGGACCCTGCAGGCGGGGCTCAGACTTCTGGGGCCGGGGCTTGGTCAGATGATGTCGTGGACTAGCCAGGGCGCAGGTGGCGGACGTGTGTAGTCGAGGATCGGATCTGTGTGTGCGAGGCTCCTCGATGTGGGTCACGGGGTCGGACGTGCGATGACGCGATTCCGAGATGAAAGGAAAAGCATCGGACACCTCATTGCCGATGGCGGACCACAAAAGCCCACGGGGGTTCGGTTTTCGCTTGGCTGGGGGGAAGTTTGTCCTTAAGGCGGCACTTTCCCGGGCGTGCGGGCGTGGATAGGACAAGTTCGGGCAGGGATCGCTCAGTGGCGGATGCGGGCCAGATACTACAGGTTTCTGCTCAGCCTTGTGGTTTCGGTTCACATTCTGACCTATCCATTGGTCTGACAGCTTCCTCGGAGACTCGGTTCGTTCTGCCAGGTTGAAGATCTGGCGCTCGGGCATCTGCGACTGGGCCACGGGTGACGGCGGTGCTTTCTCTTGTCGCTGCGCAAACGCTTCTCCTGTCCTGGAGTTTTCGGTGTGTTGCTGAAGCGCCCTCCGCGGCGGGAACATCGGCCATTTGTTCGAAAAAGAATGGAGTGAAATGGCCGGCTTGCGACTCCTCTCCACTTTAAGCCGGCACCTTTGATCCCTCATTGTTTTATATTGCCAGTGGAACAGAGAGTCGGGGACATGCTCGTACTCCAGCGACACGGTCGATGGCTGACCCCCCCTTAGAAACTGAATCGGGCTCTGCCCCACGGCCGAGCATTGTTGAGAGCCTCGTCTCCGTTTGAGCTGCTCCAGGAACGTCTCGTCAGACATCACATCCTTGATGTAAGCGTGGCGGTACAGCGGCCTGTTGTTGAACGTCGTCTTGAGGGCGCCCCGTCCGTCCGGAAGCGATATGTGGATGCTCATAACGTCTCCGGTGCTGTTTACATGCGTGGCGGTGTCGAGTCTGTGGCGCTGGCCATCTGTGGTTGGGGAGAGATCGTCGGACACATTCTGGGCACTGCACGGCCGTCTGTACATAACGTTATTCTTGACGTTGGTGACTAATCTCGCTTCCCTAGGCGCACATCGGTGACCACATGGAGGTTCTGTACGCTATGGAAAGGACTTTCCCCACAACCATAGCTGAAAGATATAATTATAGGAACTTCAAAAAATATGGAGGAAAATGCTTTCTATTCGAATGTTCATCTATAGAAGGGGAAACCGTGGACATAGGACTTTGGTCACATAGTAGTTTACCAGTTCGCCCATCAAATACCATTGAATTTATAAAGACCCTTGACTTCACTTTTTTAGATAGCGCCAGATTTATGATTAAATTGTCGCAATGGGGCATTAGCTTTGATCTTAGTGTTCCCAACTACATTTCCAAAACATATTACCTCTCTTATAGTGATGATTGTTTGAATATCGCATCCAACATTAGTTATATTTTGTTTTTCTTTGGCTTTCAATAGAGGGGTGTAAGGGGGGGGGGGCTTTGATGTGGGTTGGAGAAAAATATTATTTACCGATTTGATTACCGGTTTTGCTATTGGCAAACAATCCATTTAATACTATCAGACATGGCCAACGTTCATTATTCCAATATCAAATAACCAAAATTAGTTATTTTTTGTTTTTTTTTGGCTTTCAAAAGGGGGGTGTAAGGGGGGGGGGGGGCTTTGATGTGGGTTGGAGAAAAATATTATTTACCGATTTGATTACCGGTTTTGCTATTGGCAAACAATCCATTTAATACTATCAGACATGGCCAACGTTCATGATTCCAATATCAAATAACGAATATGAGAATTAATATTAATAGCCAAAGTATTTTTTTTTTGTTGTTGTTGATTTTTTTTATTCAATCCTTGACCCTTACGCAGTAAAATAGTACTAAAATGATATGCGGCAGCCTGAATAACACTACAAGACGCTAAGCCATTAAAACTTCCTTAAAATTTCATAATTTTAGAACCATTTTCTTTTCATGGTTTCATATCCAAACAAATCTTACTTTATGTCTTTCATTCTCATCTGACAGCAAGGTAAATACTGATTATACAACTGCTTTTAAAATGATACACTAGTGGGTAATTGAGGTGTTTGTTTTTTTTAAATTTTGATCTACCACCGGTGAGAAAATAGCCTAGGAGTCTAGGAGAAAATATGGATTCGAAAAAATGTGGACTAGAAAAATATAATATGATTGCTAAAGATATTTGTTCATTTATTTTAAAGGCTTAAATTTATTCTATTAATAGACTCATTTGTTAATTAGGCATAAACTATCCTCCCGTTGCTGGAAAACACCAGAAGTATGGCTTCATATTTATTTGTTGTCATCATGGTGGATCCACAACTTCCGTCCCCTGTCTCAGTGATCTGTGACGTAGGTGAAGGAGTCAAAAGGGTAGAGAGTATGGCCTCTTTTTTTTCCTTTTTTTTCCTAACAAACATTTTTGTGTAACTCTTTTTGATTAAAAGTTCGTGCTCCAACATATACTTTTTAAATACTGTTTTTTTTTTGGTAGCTTAAGTAAAATGAATTGATACATTAGTTTAAAGAATAAATCCAATACATGCCTTATAACAGTTTATGATAATATCAAGCAACACGTTGATGAAATTTCACATCTAGGCTCACTGAAAATGTGCCCTGCATGTTTCCTAAGCGATATTCTTTCTTTCATCTATCTTAGTAGTTCGTTTCTTTAATTTAATAAAGATTCTAGGTATTTGAATTGATTTACTTTTTTTTCAAAAGTGTGGTTTCTAATTTTAATGGTTTCATGTGTCTGTTCCCCTCTCAACATAGCAGTCCTGCTGGTATTGATGCGTCTTCTAATTTCATAATAACAAGCTTTTGATATGTTCCTAACAGTGCTATGTCATTAGCATATGCCAGATACTTAAGCAGCTGGGTGCAGAGATTGTAAGAAAGGGAAGGGGGGGGTGCCTCCTGGTAGGGGGCGTTTTTGGGGTTCCTTTCAGAAAGTATTCGGTTGCTTTTTGCTCGGGTGTCAAAATGGATGTTTCTGAAAACTCTCTAGGTAAGATAGCATACAAGACAGTGAGTCTCCGTGTCTTAGGTCTCGTCTAATCCCAAATTCCTTTGATATATTCTCCCCTGAATCTTGATTTTGCTTCTTGGGTTGTTTGATGCTACGACGTATCGGTCTCGTCGGTTTGTGGGGTATCCGAAACTCCTGCAGGGTCTCATGCAGATATTTTCTTGTGAAGCTGTCATAGGCCATTTTACAGTCCACTTAGAGTTTGCGTGCTGGGATATCATATTCGTAACATTTCTCCAATAGGCCTCTGACCACGAGTATCTGATCAGTCGGTGATTTATTTTGTCTGAATCCACATTAGCAGTCACCTAGTATTTGTTCAGTGTACGGTTCTAGTTTTTTTTTTTTTGGCAATTAATTTTTTCGGTAATTTGTATGTAATATTAGTAGGGAAATTCCTCTTTAGTTTGTGCACTGAAGTTTGGAGCCTTTCTTGTGCAGTGGGGTTATTAATGCTGTTTCGTATTCTGTTGTAATTTTCTCTTCTTGACAAATTATAAATTTATAATTTTTTTTTTTAAATTCTTTAAAAAACATTTATTTCAAAGAACAACTAGCCATGTGCTTTTATTTTTGATATAAATTTCAGTGATTTAGATGAATTTATTCCCAAATGTCGTAAAACATGAAGAAAAAATCAAATCTTGCATTATTCAAATTTAACATTGCACGTTTTGACATAAACTCTACAATTTTAAGTTGCGTGATTATAATTCTATAAAATGTCAATATTACAGAAGCTGCCCCTTCGTCTTATGAGGACGGAAGCGTGCCAACAATTTGAGACACATTCGGCACAGCCCCTGCAGTATTCTCTTCTATAACACTTGACAGTTTTAAAGATTAGGAGTTTACTCTCTAAGCGGGTGCGCTATTTCATGACGCCGAAAGTTCAAAATGTCAACCGGAAATTCGATTTGAATTTATTGTGCAGAAACCCAGACAAGATAATAGGCAAATGATGAACTTTAGTTAAATGGAATAAACCAAAAAATTTTTTTTTAAATGGCATCTGCAAGGTAAGGACTGGCAATTTTTAGGTAAAATATTTCATTGTCGGGCAATTTTATTTTCTTCTTCTTTTTTTTAAAGAAAAGAGTATATGCAAATTAATAATAGTCAAGTTATACAGGCCATAGCCATTATTATTATCACCACAACAATACACATGATACCTAAATAGAACCGAACTAAGATTGATTATAGATTTGTTTCTTGAATCTAGCCCAGCGGTGACCAGCCAACGACCTGCGGGTCACTTGCAGCCCGCTGGGACATTTAACGCGATCCGCAACTCCTTCTTTGAACTGAATTAACGTTTTCGCATCCAACACCAAAACATAGAATGTTTATCTTTACAAAAAAACAACAACAACAAAAAACAACAAAAACAACCTTTGAAATGTAATAATAATTAACTTTAATAATACATAGTTGTAAAATAGGTAACTTAAAGGTAACATTAAGGTAACCGTATGCATTATAAACTAGTTATCATGTGTTATCCGTTAGTCATTACCCCACTATTCGTCTTTTAAATGCATTTAAATGGTGCCTCGAATCATCATAATGACCTAGACATACGCCACACACACAAAGCATTTTCACTGTAGCCCTCTACACGAATAAGTTTGGCCTCCTCTGATCTTCTTCTTCTATATATATTAGGGGGTTAAAGATCAATTTATTGATCATTCTGGCTCTTATGCATGTAGACGGGATTTGCAATGTTTCTTTGCCTGTTGTTGGCGAGGCTATTTCACTGGTTGCAAGGGCCACTTAGTGAGGGTATCATGCACTGGGGGTTGGAAGGCCAGAAGCAATAGACCCAAATGATTTAGCCCAGTGGTTCTCAGCCTTCCTAATGCCGCGACCCTTTAATACAGTTCCTCATGTTGTGGCGACCCCCAGCCACAAAAATTATTTTCGTTGCTACTTCATAACTGTAGAGCATATGTGTTTTCAGTTGGTCTTTATTTTTTGTTAATAACCCCGGTTGGTTACTATCCTCAATATAAAGCTAGTTATATATTTCTACTCACTCATATAAAGAATTAAAAACTACAATTACATCACTTAATATTAAAATTACGGTATATTCGTTGATCACACGTCTTAATCTTGCCAACAATTTAAGACTGCGTCGAGTCTGATTTAATTACACATATATCGATTCTACTCCTATTACTTCAATGTATTCGACAGACTTCCTCCTTACCCATCTCCATGGCCGGCCCACCAGAAACATTGCATTTAGAGCTTCGGCTGCCACGTGCTGCACAATGGCCAGGCTGTTTGCGTATGACGCGTACAGCCGGCCCACGTCGCAATACTCGTGCCAGCAGGACTTCAGATCCTCGGCATCCTACCACAACGGCAGACCCCCGGCGTGGACGTCCCCGTCATCCTACAAGCGGTACCCATCCCATTATTACCCATCCACTTCCCTAGCCGGTGCCAGCCCCGCCTTCAAGTATTCCAGGGAGTCTCGCCCGTTCTCTCACCACGCCCCCGACCCCGTCTTACCAAAGGACGAACCTCAAAGGCCGTACTCCAGCGATTACCTGCGTCGCTACTTAGACATCGTTTCCAGGCCAGTTGCCAGACCAGCTGAGCCGATACCACCGCAAGGGGGACCTATGCGTCTGGGTATCCCAGAGGATGATAGTCTTGTCTACGAACTTCAAAGGCGACTGGCCATTGTTAAGAGCCAGCAAGAAATCTCCGAGGCGTACTGCCGGAGTGTTGAGGAGTCCAGAGATAAAGAGCAGCCGTCGGAGCTGACAACGACCGTCAGCAAATCGTGGATGCGGGACAACGGGGTTGACGTCAACACGCAGACTTCTGCGCATACCGACCGGAGGGTCCCGACCCCGCGAGAAAGTTGCAGTTGCGTGCAAGAGAGCAAACCGAGGCGGAGCTGGATGATGATAGAACCAGTCACTTGCAGCAGTAGCAACAACGAAGTCGGCGAGGACCCAAACAACCTTTCACTACAGGAAGGTTTAATCTTCTGCCAGCCGGCGGTCTTAAACAGCCGGGTGCGCTCTCCGAAACCGACGGTGGTGGTGCCGCACCCATCCTATGCCAAGATGGTGAATAAATACAGGGTCCGATCTCAAACCCAGCCCAGGCTGACCAGGAATCCTTTATGCCATGATTCTCTGTCGTCAAACAAAGCGCCTGCAGAGCTCTTGCCGGCGAGGCAACGGAAAAAAAAGAGGACGCGCGGGTCCAAAGAGATGAGCGGATCGGACAGCGGTTCCAAAACGAGGTCCAAACGGTCGGAGAAACCCGTCGGAGCAACAACGATGTTCACCAACATGTCACCGTGGGACACGCGGTCGGACGACGACGGCGGCGGTGCGGCGGCTGTTCAAAAATGCTCCAGCGACGTCGGCAAACGTCATCCGAAAAGACGGCGCTCGCGGGTAAAAACTGGACGGGCGTCGAAATCGTCCTCGCCCAAGTGGAAAACCACAAAACTGAAAACCTCGTCGGCGAAGTCTGGACGCCGATACAGTGACGTTTTGTGGGACACGCGCTGGGTCACCGACAGCCAGGTCAACGCTACCGGTAGGTCCAAGCACGAGGATGGCCGCTCTGTGACACGCTCCACGTCCACGCCAAAGTTCCGCATCAATATGGACTACGTCAGCGTGGACACCCGCGTCATCAGCGGAAAGGGCACCGAGAGCCCGAGGCAGAGAATGAAGAACATCGCCTGCAGCATGGCGCTGCCGGGGCCACCCGGCACCCACGGAGATCTAAGATTCCCGCTCATACACCCGACCCCATCGAACAGCGGGGCGCAGAAAGGAAAATTAACAGCGAAGTACTCGACGCTGGTCGAAGCGGTGAAAATCGTGGAGAAGCGAAGGGTAAAGAAGAAATTCCAGACGGTCAAGTCGAAAGAATCACTCACAGCGGTGGTCACAAAGAACTGCAGCCATGACGACGAGCAGGTACCGACCCTCGTGTCCGAGGGGCCGCGTCCACTTCCCATCAAGACCAAAGATGAGTCCCACGGCACTTCGGTGACAGTCTCCGACACCGAGTGCCACGGGACCGCCGAGAAAGGCACCGGCACGTACGACCCGGTGGAGCTTCTGAAGCGCTTCAAAGAGTACATCAGCACCACGCGGGGCAAAGGTCGACTGCGGACCTCGAACATCCAGGTCAAGGCCTACCCGTCCGCCGACGTCATCGCCAAGGCGTTCAACGCGCTCCCCAAAACATCGCAGGAGATCGGCGTCCAGCCGTTGGTGTCGGACGTGCTGACCGAGCGGGAGATCAACACGGACAGCAGCTACGTGAACGTCAAGAAGGCGGGCGGTTGGCTCGCCAAGCGTTACCGTAAGAAAACCATCTCGCCCCGTCGGGCGGCCTCCAAGGAAACACCCAGGGCAAAGAGCACCAAGACGTCGAAACACAAGAAAGACATCCGGGACAGTCCAGCGGTCAGCAGAAAACGTAGAGCCTAATGAAAACCTGGGAATCGTGTGTGGTCATCATCCGATTCGGTCAGCAATAAATGTTACTTGTTCTGTCCACCTGTTCTGTCCAATTTTTCACTTCCGTGTATTCCAATGCACTCATTTGAAATTTTGTCTCAGGCAACATCGAAGATACTTAGTCTCTCTAGAATTATAGAGAAGTGAAATCGAGGGTCCAAGTCTAAAAAAAAGGTGTGTGTGTGTTGGGGGGGGGTGGTGGGGCAGCGTTTATCACCTTCGTAGAAAGATTTTTTTTTTCCTTTGAAAATTGATGGTCTCCAGTGTTTGGAAAACGATTGTTAAATGGTAAACTTGAGAACTTTTTTGTTAGACCGGCTTCAGCCACACACAGCCCAGTGTTCGTAACCACACACAGCCCAGTGTTCGTAACCACACACAGCCCAGTGTTCGTAACCACACACAGCCCAGTATTCGTAACCGCACACAGCCCGGTTCGTAACCGCACGCAGCCCAGTATTCGTAACCACACACATCCCAGTGTTCGTAACCGCACACATCCCAGTGTTCGTAACCGCACGCAGCCCAGTGTTCGAAACCGCACGCAGCCCAGTGTTCGTAACCACACACAGCCCAGTGTTCGTAACCACACACAGCCCAATAGTCGACATTCACATCAGAATCTCACGAGAAATTTAAAAAAAATCAAAGTGCAATTAATTCAACAGGTAATCATCAAATTTGTTGAGGATCTTTTTTTTTAAAAAAATATTTGAAATTCAGTTGCACTCATGGAAGCCATTTTTTAAAATAAGCATCTCATTTTCACACTACAGTAGTACCGTGGTACAAACGTCTGTATCATTTAACTATACTAGCAAACACAGTAAAACATGTAATTTGGTACAAACACTTGTATCATTGAACTAAAGTATACCACACAGTTGTACCATGGTACAAACGCTGGTATCATTTCCCTATCCCACACGGTAGTACCTAGTACCATGGTACAACCGCTTGTACCATTTAACTATCCCACACAATAGTGCCATGGTACAAACTCTTGTATCATTGAGCTATCCCCACACAGTCGTACCTTGGGGCAAAACGCTTGCATTATTCAACTATACCTCAATACATTAGCACCTTGGTGCAAGCGCTTATACCATAGCACTATATTACCCAAAGCAGCTACCGTACCTAATTACTAAACCCCACAACACAGTGGCACCTTGCCACAAACAACAAAAACAGATTGCATGTGCACTACAATACCAACAGTACCGGCACACAACATTAAATGTACACCAACACAATAGAACAACTCCCACTTTGACCTGTACCGATATCATAACAGTACCGGCACACAACATTAAATGTACACCAACACAACAGAACAACTCCCACTTTGACCTGTACCGATATCACAACAGTACCGGCACACAACATTAAATGTACACCAACACAATAGAACAACTCCCACTTTGACCTGTACCGATATCATTTGGTTTTTTTTATTTGAGGCAGACCAGGTACAACCTTGTACACACATAGAAGTCAATGAGAATAGATGCCATGTACAGTACACACATACAAATCAATGAGGACATATGCCATGCACAACATATAATTACAAAAGGCTCAATGTACACAAAGTCAATGATCGATTGAACAGAACCATGCGCACAACATCACTTGTGATGGGGAAAAATGTACACACTTAGAACATGATTAATGTACACACAGTTGGTCACTTTATAGATTCGGTCTAAAACCCAGGCAAGATCGCACTTAAGATTTTTAAAAAAAGTTAATGAAATTAACAACACAAACATACAAACCCTTGACAATCCACTGTGTTTGTGAGTAAGATCTGTTCTCTTTGAATCAGAATAGGAGGTTTAAGAAAGATTTTTCTTATTTTAAATTTATTTTTAACCCCCACAAACAAAATGAGCTTTTGAAAAAAAAAAAATAGTTTTTTTTTTTTTTTTTACAAAAATTTTTAGTAATTAAAAAATGGAAGAAAATCAAGGATTTTCTAAAAATTCCGTGCTTTGAGGGTTTTAACTAATCACACAGTGCTATCTGTCCATGTCAACAACTAAACTGTTAAACTTAATTTTTTTTTTTTTCAAATTTAAAAACACGCAGTTCAGCAATGCAAAGATAGTCTGCTGTTTCACAATGCAAAGATAGTCTGCTGATCAGCAATGCAAAGATAGTCAGATGATCAGCAATACAAAGATAGTCTGCTGATCAGCAATGCAAAGATAGTCTGCAGATCAGCAATGCAAAGATAGACTGCAGATCAGCAATGCAAAGATAATCAGCTGTTTAACAAAAGGAGTGAATTTGAGTCTCAGATTATCATTCTTAAGATTATCATTAAAAGCGAGCCGATGGCAAAGATGATGGGAGTGAATTATCTTTAATAACCAGATTCACGCATGATATAGTCGGGTAAGCAGACATTTTCACAGCATTCAGTCAACTCTATCTAAGTCAAAGCTGGCAAAGTCAACTTCAGTCACATGAAGACTAAAACCCTTTAGTTGATTATTACAACCTTATAACTATTACTTTCAAAAAAAAAATTTTTTTCTCCCAAAAATAAGAAAAACATTGAACTTCATCACCAACAGGACCAATCTATAGATCTGCTTGTCGTTACTTGTTGCTTACAGGAGTAATCTATACCTTGTTGTGACTTGTTGCTAAAAGTCTGATCCTTCAAGCTGATCCTTCAAGTTAACCATTGCTGACTAAACACTCATGCAATAAAAAAAATTAAAATGCAAGCACAATTCCTTTCATTGCCAGAGACTAAAATTAAGGGATTTAAAAAAAAGAAAAAAAAATTATATATATATATAAACATTTCTAACTTAAAATTCAGAACAGAAAAGTATAAGAAGAGCATCCCTTGGTCCAAACTTTCCCTCTAGTTAAATAATTTGACTTGTTTGCAAGAATGAAAGAGAAAAAGAAAAAAAAAAAAGAGACTCTTGCTGCAAATCTCTCTCCATACACTGGGAAACTATCTTTTTTTTTTTTTTTTTCCCATTATTTCGAAAAGTATATTTTATTTAAAAAAAAAAAGAGAGAAAAGCTCCAGTGTTTGAGATGAATCTTATTTTGGTGGCGAAATGTGAGGGAAAGTAGGGGCTAAAGATCTATCAACTAAAAAGCAAATAAGAAAAAAAAAAAGTCAACATTACTTGGAGATGGATGAAAATAGTATTAAAAAAAAATTATTATTTACTGGTTACATTTTTTTGTGAATCTGCCAATAATAAAAAGCAGCTAATAACTGTGATTAGATATAGTTTTCTATAAAACAACCTTTTCCTATTCTTTCATATTCTTTTTTTTTTCTGTCCAAAAATGTGTACTTTAGAAATATTATTTAATTAAAAGTTTAAATTCAATAAATCTATTTTAAAGATTTGTTTTTTTAAAAATTAAAATTTGACATGAGTTTTTGTGCGTGTGTG